CCAGCTTGACATACTGTAAGTTTGATTGTAGGTGTTGTTCCAGCAGGTTAATATGACCTATAGTTGTAGTTCAGCGACCTCTAGTGGCTGTAGTTGTAATGACATGAGCAAGCGAACAAGTTAGGAGACGTAGTATATAGGGCCACAAAGTCTGCATCAGGAGGAGAATGGGGTGGAAGCGACTGCTTCAGCTCCAGTGGGGTAGCATCTTTTTCATCTAACCAAGTGTTTGTGGTTCCCGGGCCTACCCACATAGATTGTGTGACCAAATGCAATGAAACCATGAAGGTTTCATAATTGCAGTTCTGCCTCCCAGCATTGGAACAAATGACCAGATGGGGTGGAAAGGCCGGAGGATTTATTGATCACATGTGAGATAGCTATATGGTACAACACACATTGGTCCCCCTAACATCACCTCATCATTTCTAAGTCATTTCTGCTGTAATGTTTGTGTTTGTTTTTTTTTTTGTTTGTTTGTTTGTTTTTTTACTGAGGTGAAAATGGCTATATGACAAGCGGGTATGGTCATAAGTTATACTGTAACCACATCAACCACAGCTAAAACATACAGCTTCTATGTTCACACAGGGCAGATGGGGATATAGCATAGATGGGTGGGAGATGAGACGCAATGGAGTAAAAGTCTGACAACACCTGGTTGTCAGTTGTCGAATAGCACAGACTGGAGGCATCCATAGAAATGGAGGTCTTTATACAACAGCCATGTGGAACCACACAAACAGACTCTCCCTACCAAACTTTCTGGCATTCCAGTCCAATAGCCAGATTGTTGGGGCACTGTATGTCCAGCGTCACACCTGTTGGATGGGGTGCTCACTTTGAGTTGTATCTTAAATCTGCGTTGCCCATTGAAGCCTGCGTCTGTAAAATTATAGCCTGTCTTCTAAATGATATTGCAACTTGGGTACGTTTGAAATGACACACAGCTGGTGCAGCAGCCTGTTGAAGCCACAGCTCATTTCTACCATTGGGCAGTGATTTCATTTTGTACATACTCGTAGTGCACAGTTTAGAGTTTACATTATAGCTCCAGTAAATTTGCATGCAGTTATAACAACATCGACAAGCTAGAGTTGGTACTTGTCAACTAGATGTAAGACAGAAGAAGCCGTCTGACATTGTACTGTATTACTGTGAATGCATCAGTTCTCTGTAAAGTTCTGGCATGGTAAAGAAATGACCTCCCTTTTGATTTTCACCTCAGTGGAACCATTTTATTTTTCTGTCCACGATTCAAAGTCATTATGGTGCATACACCCAGCGGAAGGTTTCTGTGTTCAGCATCACAATTTGATACGTTCTCAGTCGGTATATAAGTGTGATTTAACAGAATAAACAATGTGCCGATAGTGGGTAGCTTCTTTTTCAACCTCTGACTGATTTTGAAATATGCATGTTAAAATGTTCAACTGAGGTGAAAAAGGCCGTTTGCATGCAATTTACTAACATAGCTGTCATTATTATGAAAATATTCATCCTTGTTTATGTAACATGTAAAGCCTTTTTTTTTTTCCTCAAACTAATGGGCCAAATATCTAACATCAACACCAATGCTAAGTAAGTTCTCTTCAGATGCTTTTAAGCTTTAAAATGCATTCCACATTCTGTTATTTTTAAGTACTAAGAATCCAAATGTATAATGTTATTTTGTTTAACGGTTTGGTTCCATATGAGAATGATATTTGTGTTGCAGCCACTCTAAACACCTTCAGCTTGTCACTCCAAATGCAGTAAATTTCCATGTTGACCAATATTTGTATATATTTCTTGCTCATGTAAGATATAGTGCTGTTTACTGTAACTCATTCCAGTATGGTATGGCTGTGGATGCCTTTCCAGAGAAGGACAGCCGTTTGCTGTAGAGTCTATAAAGTCGGTGGCACGCTTAATGTTTTCCTTTACAGTTTTAATGTTCTGTCACCAGACACGCCAACATATACAGTGCCTGCAGCTAGTGTGGAGCCTGTCAGCTCAAAATGGCTTGATTTAAACTTTTGAAACAATTTTTTGAGCATTAAACCCATATTTGTTCCAATGCCACATTCATATTAAGTTTAGAAGAGCCATTGCTTAAACGTGAACAAGAGGAGGTGTGTATTATGTTGGTAAAGTTTATTGAACATAAGCCATAAATGACAGCAAGTGTTGCTTTCTGGGTCTAATCATTGTGAATGATTATTCAGACGTATATTACCTGCTGTTTTCAAGTAGATTTATACACTCCTGTTTTCACAGTATGTACTTTACAAGAATAAATCTGCAAATAAAATAGGTGAACAGAGCAGAATTTTATTGTCCTGTCAGTGCCGTGGCTTTGTCTCACCAATAAAGTCAATCACCACAGTAAAGACAAACGCACAACCTGCAGCATAAATCATCAGCCACAGATGTGCACAGGTTGATAGATGATTAAAAGAGAAGAGAAAACTCGTACTAGGAGTCATGAACCACAGTCACTGCGATTCTTCCTTTGCAGACCATAAAGATTTGTACCAAATGTCAAGGCGAACAGTTGAATTACTGCAGTATGTTTGTAAAATGCAGGAATCTTTTCAGTCGTTATAAGTTACCTGGCCGTTTTTCCTCTATTCCATTCTACACAACCATGACTAAACATTTAATCAAGAGGTGTTTACTGTTGTTTTTCTGGTCATGATGCTTTAACACGTTTAAAACTCTCTGCATGGCAGCTTTATACTTACTCAGATAAACGTTTTATTCATTCTGTCAAAACAAAATCTTAATTCAGTCCATTTCAACTCAGCGGTGGCTCTGACGCTTCCACGTGTCTTTTAATGTTCAAGTCTTTTCTGTTGGTTTGTTTATTTTATAAGTTGGCATTTATTTTAGCGTTGTCACCAAAATAAAAAAACAACTTGTGGGATTATCGTCGTTTGCTTTGTTCTGAATTGTGACTTGTTGCCGTGTTCAGTGCTGTTGTAGAAATTGTGATGTGATGTAAAAATTATGTAAGATTTCCAATTCACCCAAGCTTGCTCGCAGTGTTTGGTGTCTTAAAGTTCTGAGTGAATGCAGGCTACTATGTTGGCTCCACTCATGACGAGTCAAAGTGTGTGCTCAATGTTTTTTTTTTTATGGTAAATAGTTGTGTGTTATTTGAGAATTGTTTAGTATGTTATGTTCTAAAATCTGCACTATGTCTTGCATCTCAAAGACGACAAATGCCCTGTGATTTGATTTGTTTTTGTCTTTATTTTCATTCATCTCTGAATGACTCTGGCCTCTGTTTAACGTCCTTAAAACTGGAATGTTGCACATTTAGTGCCTTTTACATTTCATCAGCTAACTTGAACATCTGCTCAGAATAGAAAAGATAAGATTCATTTATTTTTCTTTTATTGTATGTATTTTTTTATACATATATCGCCTCTGTATCCACTGTTCAAATTTTATATAAAACCTATTCCTGGCCAATTATATGCATTTTTTTTTTGTTTCTGATTATTATATTCTCACCAGATTAAGAAGTTTCTTTCCTTTCAAGATGATGATTAAAACATCAAGCTGGTAAGTTTTTTACTAAGTGATCTGTTTTGATATTTGCCTAATTTAGGTGCTTCGCATGTGTAATGTCTTCATTTTTTTCAGTCATATAAATCATACTTCATCTTCTTAACAGTCTCTAAAAATAGGAAGCAAAGTTGGAAGGGAGACAAAAACAAATTGCAGTGGTGGAAGAATTGTTCAGAGCCCTAAGTAAAATTACAAATACAATGGTGTAAAAGTCAGCGGTGGACATACTCCAATTGTTGACTTACTGCAAGTAAAAGTAGCAAAAACACAGTCAAAAAAATACTGTTACAAAAGTTGTGCATTCAAAATGTTACTTAAGTAGAAGTACAGAAGTACTGGCATCAAAATATACTTGAAAGTGCCAAAAGTAAAATAATTATTGATGATATTGTGTACATCACATCTAATGATGCTGCTGGTAAAGGTGGAGCTCATTTTGCCTGCTTTACTTACTGGGTATTTTGTGAATTTACCACCAGGGGTGAATAAAGTCGATGATTATTTTGTGTAGTTAACAATCTCATTTATTTTGGGCTGGGAACTACTGGTCCATTTGTATATGAAGTAGTTAAAACTAGCTCCACTACACACTGATGCACCAGTAATGACACTTATACAATTATATCACATCACTTATAGAGGGGATTTTCCTGTAATCAGGTACTTTGACTTCTGATATTTTAGGTATATTTTGCTTATACTTGTGTACATATACTTTATGCTTCAGACCAGCTATTTAATATTCAACTCCACTGTTTACATTTGAGGTAGGCACACCAGGAATACTTCATTTTAGTGGTGTCAGGACTGGTAAGTCCACTATATTTATTTGATAACTTTAACTACTAATTACTTTTTGGAACCTGATTAACGGAAGAGGACAGAAGAAAAACGTTTTGTCACACAAATTAGTTTTATGTATTGAACTTTGGACCCAAAACACAGCAAGTGGCAGCAGTTAGTACACGAGTAAGCACTGTATACAAACCTGATTACAAACTTTAAAAAAAAAAGTTGTAAATATTGTAGAGGCATTAATACCAGCTGTAGATGTTTTACCATACAAGTCAGTGATTACTGGAAACAGGCAGCTGCTAGGAAACATCAATGCTGCGTTTCCTGAATGTGAGCAGCAGGGGGCAGAGTTGATCTTCAACACAGCTGAACATTACTCAAACATATCAAGATTCCTTTTTGTCATTAAATTGCATATTATTGTGTTGGAGTAAGACCCCCCTGTTCTCACTGTCTCCCTCCAGGAAATAGAAACCAGGAAACAAGAAGAAGAAATAAAGACTTCATACATCTTCCCTGATAAGAGTGATGCTACATGGAAAGGGAAACAAAAAGTCTGGGAATCCCGGTAAACAAGGGACAATCCCCCAAGGAAATCTTCATCATGTGGTGTCCTTTAATTGTAATATGATGCGGTGAGGTGTGTGGTTATTTGTGAGCTGAAAACATAATGAAGTATGAAGGGATGATGAATGTGAAACCAATGCTACGAATGTACAAGACACTGGACTAAAGTGATCAGGTAAGGCTTCTTCCTATGTATTTTATTATTTCGATTCATTTACTTTACACCTGTTTGCATGTGCTTGACAGCCGTGGTCACAAAACATCAAGAGAGCATATGGGGCATTATTATAAGTCAAACTAAGCAATGGTATACTGTATAATGTAAAGCATCAGTGTTCATTCTTGATATTAGAAGCAATATTTTGACGAAGCAATCTAGCCCCTAGCACCTGACCTTTTAACAATATCACACAGTCTTCATCTGTTGCTGAAGTTTGCTTGTTGTATCAGTCTTGTCTCGGTCGTCTTGCAGACCGATCTGTGAATGCACATGCTCAGTATCTTTTATGACTGCATCAGCAGAGATCCAGATGAATCTTCTTTATTTTATTTCTGGGACAGATTTTTAAAGGTGCAACAGTAAAATATTATTTCTACATTAATGTGGGGACATTTTTATGCATAATGAGTACTTGTTAATTTAGTTGATAACACTTCTTTATTAAGGACTGAGTATTTTAACATTGTATTATTAGTATTTTATACTTATAAAATACATAATCCATCACTGGGTGTACGCAGATCTGTACAAGAACAGCAAATGTTGGAAAAGATATCTGAAAGATATACCTTGCACTGCTTTTACATGCTGGGTCTAGTTGCATAGTAACAAGTTATTCAAATACTGTACCTGCTGTGCAGTAAGTAAGGCTTTGAGGTACTTTTCCACTGCAGCTGTAGTTACTATGCAGAGATACAACACACTAGTCATAAAATACGATACATGGTATAGAATGCTCTCGGAGCAGCATATTGAGATATTAAAAGTAGCTCCACATTTTCCAAATACAATACAAAATGCTGCTCACACATTAATGCGCCTAATAATAATAATAATACAAGTATAATATACCATTATAATAGAGCACTGACAGGAGCCATACATAACTAGTACTTTTGCTTTTGATACTTTATGTGCATATTACAGATACAGATTTTTGTGCTTTTACTTGCTGTCAGTAAAATTTTTAATGCAAAATTTTACTTGTATTTTCACACTGTGTTATTACTACTTTTACTGAAGTAAATATCTTAAATACTACTGGTTGCAAACACATGTGCACATATTAATTCAACACAACAGAAACTCAGCAAGTGGCAGTCGCTCTCTTGTTGCTGTGAAATGATGGCATGTGTGAACTTTTGACTGCTTATTAAAAGGTTTACTTTGTTAAAAACAAGCTTTGAAAACCAGCACGAATGTAGGCTGCTGGTCATGATGCTGCCAAAATCAAAGGTGATTTTCTTTGTTTTCCTTCGACCGCTGAACGGCTTCATTGAAGCAGTCAGAGGTTTGGTGTGTTGGTCAAGAGCACTTGAAAAGTCGTTACCGATGGAGGAGAGAGTTTTAGTCAGCCACTTTCCAGACTGCTGAGAGATTTGTACAGTCACTTACTAATTGTTTGTATGTGTAAACTGGTTATACTCATTGCAGTAACAGTGATGTTTGTTTACAGTATGGCAAACCAGGACAAAGCCACATGGCAAATCCGACTTCCTCCCACAGTCCTGAGAGGGACGTGTGATTTGTCAGCACACCCACACGTCTCAAATGGGGGACAAACACTCTCTTGTTTCAAAAATGTGTCTATAAAAAGTGTTAAATAGTTGATGGATGTGGAACTATGTTTTGGGCATCAAGCTTTCGGGTACAAACATATTAAAGTACCCCAAATTCCAGATGAGGATTGTTGTGTGAGAGCATCCAAGCTGTTTATAAAGAACTCGTCCAACTTTTGGATTAATCGAGTGTATTTTTGGAGCAGTGGGGGTTGTGTCTCCATGAAGTGGAGCATAAAACTGGACTTCCCGACCCCCTTATAAGGCATTTCACTGGTAGCAGTGGGAGGGTGGAAGAGGGCCGAGCGATTGCAGGATATTCTCACAGGATATGATGGCTGGACAGCAGCTTGAGCTGTGCGATGTGGGGGGAAGAGTCAGCTGAGAGGAGCGTTTGGCTTGTGGTGTTACTATCAGTATGAGTGGGTGTGTGCCTGTGTTGAGGATGTGAAATCAAGATGGTCAGGAGACACTAAAAAGATGATTCATCAGCTGAAAGAGAGGTAAATGTTCAGATTTATAAAATGTTTTTAGATGTGTTCTTGCTGTTGCATGAACTGGTTTGTGGAAGCTTTGGCCTGGACTGTGGGAGCAGATGCTGCTTGCTGGAGTACAAGTTGCAGTGGTGGAAGAAATACTTAGATCCTTTACTTAAGTAAAAGTACCAAATCCACAATGAAAAAATACACAAAGTATGTGTTTTTTACTACCCGTTAAAAATATTTCACTGTGTAAAACTGAATCTTTACAGCCTGTAGATTATCACCAAAATGAAACAGGATGTTCATGATCCTCCTGTTTCAAATGTCAAACTATACTTTACTACTGAAGCAAAAGTAAGAAGTACATGACAAAGCAAAGCGAAATATATTCATCCAAGTACTTGTTCTACAGAATGATATATTACATTACTGGAATGCTTGCATTACTACTGTAACACAATGAGATATTTAGAGGTCAAATATGTCTTTGGCGGGACTGTTAACATCACTTCCCCAACTGTACACTGTTTTTTTTTATAAGAACCACAAGTTTAATCTTTAAATGCCTAGTATTTTATGGAACTATCATGCTTTTAATGTAAGCTCCTAATTTGAAAACCACTTGCCATCAGATACATGTGAAGTACAAAGTATAATACTTAGCACTTAAATGTAGTGGAGTAGAAGCAAAAACTGGTATAGAATGGAAGTTTTAGATGGAGAGAAAAGGTGTTGAGCTTTCTGGCTGCTGATTAACAACCACAGTGTTTTATCAGCGTGAATATTCAAAAGTTTTCTGCAAATAGCTTGAGTGATAAACCTCGTGTACTTTTCCCATCTTTGCACTATTTTAATCTGCCTTAAATATTAGAATAATTACAACTGAGTAATTTTCAAGGTACTCAAATAAAATGTTGTTTTACACTTTTTTGCTATTTGAAAAATCCGAATGCTTGTCAGCAGCTCTAAATGAATGATGTGTCTGTGTTTTATGCAGCTACAAGTGCACTTCATCTGCTTTAGTCATGAGAGTGCTGTGATCAATGTCCTAGTTGAATTAAATTGCAGAATCTATGAAAGCAATCTGTCTGGATGTGTATGTCATTTTTAACAGTACAGTAGGTTGAATTTCAGAGCATGACCTATAGCATTTTTAATTTGAAAACTAGACTGCTAACTCTTAACCTCTTGTGGTCTCTAATGTTTCACCTACATTTCCACGTACCAATCATCCCCATGGGTACTTACCATTACTGTGACACTAACTACGCCCACACTGTCTGCCCTGCAAGGCTACATGTTTTGTTTTGTTTTCAGGGGAACCTATCAGGAAATATTTAAGCAAGTTTCCACAAAATAACAATGCACAGGCCTTGTGTCATGTAAGAGATGACTCATTAAGACCTGACAAAACAGTGTCTGTCTTTCTTGTTTTAAATCAATAACCTACAGTAATGAATTGATTATATTTACTCGGAACTGATGGGAACCCTTCATTTTCTTAGTTATCCCTTCTCAGCGCTACCAGTTCAGCAGCTGTATATACAGAGTGTAATAGAGTATAAAAGAGAAAGGGTACAGCATACAAGTACCAAAAAGCCCCTCTTTGTACTATATGTCACAGGGTAGGTAGGCCTACTTCCCTCTCCCTTTTAAGCCATATCACCTCACAGCTTGCTTCCTGCATTTTGACTGTTCTGGACTCTCTCTGCAGCACCATGGCCACCTTCCAGCTGCTCTTCCTGCTGTTGGTCAGCTGCGTGGTCAGCCTTCACCACCACCTCTCTCCATGCCAAATTGTAAGT